CGAAGAGCATCTGCGCCGTCTAAAAGGAAAATTGCATGTGTTTATAACGTTCGAGGCGCCATTTATGACATTTTGAAATGGAACCAGGAGTCTACCATATGAATTTTGATATGGTTTTCCGTTTCTTCCAAATTGGGTTCCCTTTATTAAACTCGAATATCGATTATCGAATAACAGCACAGAATGTTAGAATGTTATCCACATTTCTTTTCTGCGTTTTCATGATATTGTCCTTCTATGGTTTGTTAAAGTTACATCATGTTCAGACTTAGATAATACCTTAACATTGTTGGTAGTTTTTCAGAATTCAGATTTCTTTTCACATCAAAATTTAATTTCATCTCAGGGGATGGCGATCAATTCGGCAACTAGTAATAAATTCAGTGTTATATGAATGATAAAGTTAATCATGGAGCAAGAATTGAATTAATTCAATTTTGATTGAGTTGTAGCAGAGTTTTCGATGGATTTTGTTATAAATGAATATTGAGGAATGGTAAAGAATAAATAAGGTTATTGCATTTTTCCTTTTCTCATTCATTGGAGATATCTTATTTGTCTCTTTAACTGAAATATGCAAATGGAATTATTTCAGGATCATAGTCACGAATTGGCCATGATGAGAAGGAAGCCTATAGCTGAGATAATTAATCTATCATTAATTCTCGAAGATCCCTGGAGAAAATTGATAAATAATTCGAGGAACTATACTGCAGAACGGGAGAAGAGTGAAAGCAATCTGTTGATTACACCGGAAAAAGTTGATATTCCGTTGCAAGATGGACTTCATAAGGACAATCGACACAATGAGAGCTCCACTGAAGGCCATTGGAGACTCCGATAATTAATGATTCAGTAGATAATTACAGAATGAATACCTATGACCTTATTATCCAATGTATAATTCACATGGCTGTGAAGAATTATGTACGTAATGTGCAATTTTGTGAGAATATTTTTGTGGAGCGATAAAATATTACGTATAAATAACGAGTTATATTGATACACACCTAATTACAGAATCTACTCAATATTAATAATGGCACTGGTCAAAGGGACTCAAACAGAATTGCTTCTTTTTTAATGTTTGTCAGCTGTATTTTATGGACTTGTGGAGTAGATAGAATATATTTTCTGGCTTGACCAATAGACTACTTGCACTATGCAAGGCACCGAGATTGGTAAAGCCATTTATTTCCAATTTATCCATATATTCAAAAATTAAGTATCAATTTCACCTTACTTTCTAGTATTTTATTTCATTATTGTATAATAATCAATTTCCTTGAGAATGTGGCAAGTCATGGGAGAATCAATTAGGTAGTAACTATTGAAGAAAAAAATGTTCAATTTTCTGTGTTTTAAATAGGGTAGATCTTGCTTCCGTGTGCAGAAGATCATCGTTAGCAAGCCAGTAGTTTTTTTGAGCTAAATTTTCATTAAAATTGCAGCTGCTAGAATCCATTCTTTCAACAGTGTTGATGTTGAGATTGAAATTTTTGAACCGCGAAGGAGGGTGACCTTTATACTATTTTTCAAAATATAGGTGTCCATTTGTTTCAGATAGTTTCTTTAGAATATAAGGAGTATATTCATATATTATTATAGAAGTCCGCGTAAGGTAAGGAAGTACTTTGAACACTATCAGAGTGACATTTCCCTATTATATCAAAGTTAGCGAGGATCAATAGTGAAATAATTGCTTTCCCCGGTGATTTTTGTGTGGCCCAGGTTTGTGGTAGATCGTACATTAAAAAAAATGGATTTTTGTATGTAGATGGGACCTCCAGGTACTTAGCTGACAAGGTGCAATAATTGGGAAAATGATCAAATGTACTCGATTGTACATCGTCAGCACATGATTGTACCATCGAAATTTTTGTTTGTACATTCTCTCATTAATTTAAAATAATTAATACATTTTCGGGTATGATACTAGCCGATATTAATTAAAAATAGCTCAATTCAGATAAATAAATGGTCAATTCGATAGGAAATCATTTGTATATTATTACAAATTTCGTACTTTTATTGTTTGTACATTCATTGCTGATTAGATGAGTTTGACTTTGACTTTTTGAAAGGTTTTACCCGTTCCCGTTTAACGTGCGATGAAACGAGTCTTTCGGCCATTTTTCATTCTGCCTTAGCAGCCGCGGCACTGTGCATTTGGAAGAAATATAATTTTTTTATTAACTTTTCAAACTTTTTTCTTCATAAATATTTAGGTGGTAATTTGGTGGAATTTAGGAGAACATAATTATAATTTGGGAGTAATTAGTTGTTGTTTAATAGATTTTTCCTTTTTTACAATAATAATGAGCAGA